CTGCAAGAGGAAAACTAATGAAAAACCACCGAATCAGCACATTCAAAATACAGTAAAAGCATGCTTTTGCTGTGGATCCCCACAACACCTTGCAAGCTACATAGGATGTCCGGCAAAAGTAGCTCAGTGCGATCATTGCAAAAAGATTAGAGATTTTGCTAAAGTATGTCACAGTAGCCAGTTCAATCAACAGGTACATGCAGTGACAATACCAGATGAGCATGGACAAAATCACTACTGCACATATTCCAGAACAGATAAAGTGCACTGTTAACGTTTCCGCCATACCGTCAGGCAAACCACACTCTATTCAGCTAATGTTGGACTCTGGCTCAGCAGTATCTATACTACCCGATTCCATCTATCTGCATTACTTTAAAGATGTGCCTCTTACGGAACCCAAACTTCACGAGGTGTGCTATTTGAAAAAGCATATTCCAGTACATGGCTGCCTGCCAGTAAGAGTTACTTTTGGTGATTGCTGTGTAACTGCAGAGTTCTACATTGTCCACAAAGGCACTCCTATCCTTGGCAGAGATTTATTGGCTGCTATAAATCTCAGGGTAATTAATGGACAAATTGATCTTCCTCAGCAAAGCACCATTGCGCTACACACAGCAGTTTCAGCTGGGAGCCAACACCAGGCTGAGGAGAAACTCGGCTGTGCTTATGGGTTTCTGCATAAAATTAAAATGCAGAATAATGTGGTGCCTGTATGACAGAATTTAAGGTGCTTACCATTTTCAGTCAGGGAAGCTGTTTCAGAGGAACTTGGAAAACTTGTTCAAAAGGACATTATTGAAGAGATCGACTCCTCGGAATGGGTTTCACCTATGGTAGTGACGCAGAAGAAGGGTGGAGGCATTCGCCTTTGTGTGGACTTAAAGGAGTCAAATAAAGCTATTGTGATTGACAGCCATCCTCTTCCTCACATGGAAGAAGTATTTGCAGAACACTGTGGAGCAAAGATGTTTTCTACTCTTGATTTGCAGAGCGCAAACCACCAGGTTATGTTGCATGAAGAGAGCAGAGACCTCACAGCATTTATTACACATCAGGGACTATTTTGTTTTAAACGTGTTCCATGCGGTCTTGCATCTGCCCCAAGTGCCTTTCAAAAAATGATGTCATTGATTCTGAAGAATTAACATGGAGTTCAGTGCTATTTGGATGATATTATCGTGTTTGGAAAAACTTCGGAGGAGCATGAGAATAACCTTCAGTCTGTGCTAAACTGCATCAGCACAGGAGGGTCCAGCTCAATAGGTCCAAATGCAAATTGAGACAAACGGAACTCTCCTTTCTGGGGCATACGATTTCACAGGCTGGACTAAAACCTGATCCAGATCATATCCTGGCAATTTCAAATGCTCCTCTTCCAACAGATTTGCAAACCTTACGTTCCTTCTTGGGTCTTATCTCCTGGTATGCAAAATCTTTGATGACATTGCTCATCACGAAAGGACTGGGAAGAGCAGGATACCGTATTGCTCGATGGTCTGCAAGACTACTCTCTTTCAATTATGAACTGGAATATAAGCCTGGAAACCAAAATGTGGTCGCTGATTGCCTTTCTCACCTGCCTTTGCCTTCACCAGATGGTCGACCGGAGGATGAGGATGTAGTGGTTGCGCTTATTACAAGCACTCTCACGGCAGTTACAAGGGAACAATTTCAAGCTGCTTGTTCAGCGTGTCCAATTCAACAAAAAATTATAGGAATTTCTGACAAAGAGATGACCCAGTCACCCTAAAAACTTGACCCAGTTTTGCTGCCTTATTTTAGAGGTCGGGATGAACTTTCTTTGTTTGATGGCTATGTGCTACGAGGTACACACCAGCTCCTTGTGCCGGAAGAATTACAGTCAAAACTCATATACCTGGCACACAATACTCGTGAAGGAATTGTCCGAACCAAACAATGACTAAGAGATCTGTATTGGTGGCCAGGGATGGACTCTTAAACTGAAGCACTCAGAAAATCCTATGTCACTTGCCAAATGCATGATAAGACAGCAGTGACATGTTCCTCTCCATTACAGCCTGTTCCTCTTCCTGAATCTGCATGGGAAAAAGTGGCGATTGACATTGTAGGACCCTTTGATGCTGCTCCAACTGACTGCCCTTATGCCATCACTTTTATAAACTATTTCAGTAAATGGCCTGAGGTAGCGTTTACATGGCAAATCTCTTCTGCTACAGTCATTAAGTTCCTCTTTTCAGTTTATAGCAGGGAAGGTAACCCCAAAGAACTGGTTTCAGATAAATAGTAGTCAATTTACTTCTCTGGGGTTTGAAACTTTTCCAGCACAGAGGAACATTTTACATCCAAGGTCATCCCTATATTACCCTCCAGCCAATGGGGAAATCGAACGGTTTAATAGAAGTTTGAAAGAGAGTTTGCGAACGGCTAAACTGGAAGGGCGATTGTGGATACCCTTCACTACTGATTTCTTGCAAACATACCGGGCTACACGACATGCCACAACGCAAAGATCACCCGAAGAGTTACAGCATGGGAAACAGATGAATACTCAATTGAATATTGCTGGATTTTGAAAGGCATGACCTGATGCCCCAAATGAGGGTGATGTGAGAAAAACAGTTGAACAGAACCAAGCAAAGTCTAAGGCTTTCACAGACAAGCAGCGGGGGGCTAACGAACCAAAGTTTGAGTGTGGTTCCTTCGTTAGAATACGAAAACCTGGAATATTACGCAAAGGGAACCATAAATTCACAGCTCCTCTTAACATCATTGAGAAGACGGGACCTTACACCTATCGACTTTCTGATGGGCGGGTATGGAATGCTTCTTATCTTGCACCTGCCTATGCACCGAGAAAAGAGGATGCCAACACCCAGTCTGCATTGGATGACTTCACCGTAGTACCAACACAACAAGACATTGCACTGGAACCAGGGCTTGAGAGATGACCTGACAGACCCAGACGACCACCTGTCTGGACTAGAGACTATGTTATGTAGTATCTACAGTGTTTTCAGTGCAATATTTCTGCCAACAGTATGGTGTCTTGTTTCATATTTGTTCCTGTGGTTAGAACAATAATGTTTATTTTAATTGGGAGAGTTTCTTAAGAGAGGAGGGAATAGGGTGTTTAGATGTTGCTTGTAATTATTAGAATTGGGAGCACTGACTGTTGGGAGTCTGAAAGGACAGGAAACAGGATGGAGCGGGCAGGAGTTGAGAGTCTGGAAGAAAGCTACAGAGGGTGCAGCAGCACCTCGGTTAAGAGGTTTCCACTTTGAAAATAAAAGCCAGTCCTGTTGAAGCTTGTTAGTACCTTGCCTGGATGATACAACAATTTGTTCCCCATCTAATTAATTATCGATAGGAATCAGGTACCCCTTAGACTTAAGGCCTCAGCTCTTTTAAAGCAGCCTAGCCTGCTTTCCTCTGTTCTCCTTAATATGGTCTTGTTTTGGGGAATCTCTCAGAGCTTTTGGGGCCCCCCCTTGCACATTTACATATATGGAGGCTTTCTGCAATAATTTCCATTTTTGCAAGAGAACCTGCTGCACATAGCCATGTCTGGAAGCTCTGGAACAAGGAAAGAGGACCTGGCAGTGGGACAGTTTGAGAGCAGAGGGGAACAGAAGGAGGATCGACGTGTTGTGGGAGTACCAAGGTGGGTGGTAAACTGTGACTGGCCCCAACTCCTCTGACAATAACATAAGCCAAACAGAATGGTATAAGGAACAGGAAAGAATTTATTCATAGGCACTCACTGAAACATGCAAATATATATTTTCCCTGGGCTAGGAACACCCCGAAGTAGATTTAATACATGATAAGGGCCTTGTTTTTTATATATATTTCTAAGTTTAAAAAGGAAAATGAAAGGGATTTTTATGGAAAAGAAACAGCAAAACAGCCCCCGGGCACCAATCAAAACATTCTCACACGTGTTTGCAATACACCACCGCAGCCAGTTACTTTTATTAAAAGGACAAGAACAAGCTATTATGGGGAATACAAATGCTCCCCCGTGGATTTTAGAAGCAAGGCGTCATCTTCCAGATTCCCAGAGGTCCTGCATTGACAATCTATGATGCCATCACTCAGGAGCACTTCTGCAAAAAAGGGAAATTGAAAGAACGTTTGCTAAAGTCAAGATATATCACGTCCAGTAAAGATATATCATGATACAGTTATTATCTTATATGACAGGGATAAATCATGCATGCAAACCATGGATCAAAGTCTTCAAATGGGCTACAAATGCAAAAAATATGAGGTATTGAAAATTTCAACAAATGAGTGGTGGGGGAGCATCAAAGACGCTCCTTGCCTGGGGCACCATTTGATCTAGGGCCAGCCCTGCACCCAAGTTAACTTTACTGTGGAAACCTTCATGTTTCAACTGTAGCTTAAACAGCTATTTCATGAACTAATGTCGTACGCTTTGGTTTTCCAAGATTTATATATGTCCCAAGGCCTAGAAGGGGACCACTCTCTCTTCTTCAATAAAACAATAATGTAGGCATATGTGATGAGTCTGGCCGCAGCCCTCGTCTGCATTATGATGCTCTGGTGACATATTGAGGCCGTAAAAGCAGTTGGAGGAGAGTTATCCCAAAGTTCGAGCAAGACATGGCTGAGATAAGTGGTCCTTTGCTGTCCTCCTTGCTAACTCTGTCTTGGCGGGGTGCTGGACATGGTGCTAGGGGCTATCAGGTTTGCAGAAGGGCAATCTCTAGAGCACTGAACATTCTGAGGTTACTACAGGATTGGCCACAGGCAGCAGAGTAAAGCATCTGCAAGTAAGAGAAGTCAACAAGAGTCAATCCAGCCCCCAGACAGTCCAGAATCAGGGTAGCCAGAGGAGCCTCCTTTGTCCCCTGCCTCTGGGCTGTGCTTTGTGTGCAAAGCCTCCAAGGGCATTAGACAGCTCACATATATAAAGGAGAGAAACAAACAGTTCTATTCACTGTTCTATTCTATTCACCCACAAGTGATTCCCTAGTAGAATCTGTACTTACCCGAAATACACAGCAAGCAAATCTACCGCAGCGTCCTATACGCTTCATCCCCCAAGGACATCGGGAACGGAAGCATCCACCATTACGACGAAAACATCTGTAAGTGCTAGAGACACGACTGTCAGAATCTGCAGAAAAATAATAAAAAAGGAGTCTTGACTTTCATTCACACAGCAGGATAAAAGAATTGTGATTGCTATGATGAGCGTTTTGCATTCAGTGAATTTCTCATTCACTGAGACCTCGACACATCAGCCCAATTATCCTCCTGTACACCATTTTACTAGATCTGTAACAGTACTTAAATGGCTGTCATTCTCTGCACATTCAGTGGCTGCCCTTAAGAAGAGAACAGAGTGAATTCATGAACCAGATGCACTGGCTTCTTGGCTGCACACTGCAGAGCATTAAAATGGAGCATGGGTGTCCTTCTCAGTAAATTCTTTGGTGCCGGGAATGTGTCTCTGCTGATTATTAGCATAGAGCCTTGCACAATGGGATACCAGTCCATGACTGGGCTCCTAGGTGGTTACTCAATCATTAAATAAATAAATAATACAGACGCGTTGTCATTTCTGCAGAACCTGCTTTAAGCTGACATAGTGGCATCTCCACTATTGAAGCCAAGCACAAAAAGTATGACAGCTTAGGTCTGGGGGACAGTGTCGCTAAGGCATTGAGACAATGACCTGCCACCCTAAAGATGAGGGTTTTAGTCCCAGACTGTGTACTCTCCCATTGGAGTGAGAGACATCAATTAATAATAAGGGATATGAAAGCTCTGACTCATTAACACTCGTGAGCAGAAGAAGTTAGAATCTAATTCATGGTGTCCTGGTTCCCAGCCTGGTTCCTCATCCTGTGAAACAAGCCGTATTTTCATCTGGTTTGGCAAGAGGAAGAGGACACATCTTGAACGTGTCCCACACAGATGTTCAGTTCTTCTTGGCCTCAGGGCTACCTTGGTCGGGGGAGGGAATGAAAGGGGAAGTTTGTGGAAGGCAACTAAAATGGTGGATGCGTGGCTGGACTAATTTTGATTGAGAGCATTGCAACCAATATATCCTTTAGGTAGTGTCCACATGCATCCTTCTTTACTTGTGGACACCAGAATGAGACAAAGTGTCCCATCAGTGATCACCCCTGTGCCTAATACAGAGGTAAAATACCCTCTCTACTCCTACTTGAGATTCCCCTGTTTATGCAACCAAAGTTCCCATTTGCCCCGTTAGCCAGAGCGTCAAACTGGGAACTCCTGTTCAACTCATTATCCAGCATTTTCCCCAACATCCTTTTTCAAGTCACAGCTTCCAAGGATAGAGGCCCTCATGCTGCAAGTAAAGCCTACCCTCTTTGTTCTTTGATGTGGACATTTATATTAAGCCTCATTAAAATGCATATGGTTGGCTTGCACCCCATTTACCAAGTGATCCACATCACTCAGTGTCAGTGCTCTGTCTTCTTCAATATTTACCACTCCCCCAATTTCTATGTCATCTGAAAACTTTAGCCGAGAGTTTATGTTTTCTTCCAGGTCATTGATACAAATGCTATATAGTGGAGGACCAAGAACCAAACCCAAAGGAACCCCACTAGATAGAATGAGGGGATAGTTTTCCAGGTCACAGTTCCAGCACATCTGAATGGATTTTCATGGACACAGCAAAGGCACTTTTTTGACCGCAGCACTATTTCACAGCCACATTTCACGTGTCTGCTGTAAGCCAGGCAAGCCCTGCATCTCTTTCGAAAACAATTTGGAAAAAAAATGACACAAAGTTTTAGGTAAACTTAGTACATGCTCACAAATATCCTTCTCTAGTCTCCCGACATTTCATTAAAACCTTACCTTGTGCACTACTTTGAGCCACCAAGAAGAAGAGGGCAAAAAGAAGGTAAAGTATCTTCATGGCTGTAGTTTGGCCGGGAGCTGAATGTCACTTGGGAGAAGAGACTCTCAGATAGACAGGAGAGGGACACTCTGTCCATTTATAGGGTGCTGGGGATTGTGACATGCTGATCTGTTGCAACCTTTTTTTGATACAAGGGACATTTACAAGGTGTGTGCTGCAATCTGTTAATTATGAAGATATTTATCTGTACAGCACCATAAAATTTCCTGGAGGATTTCAGGGAAATACAATTGACAGGTCCCTGCCTTCAGGAAGTTACAATATGAATATTTACACCTCGGAAATACCTACTGCCTGGTCTAAAGCCCTTTGAAGTCAGTGGAAAGTCTCCCATTGATGTCAGATGAGGGTCCTAGTGTACAATACAATTCAAAAACACAGTCCTGGCAAGCAGCTGGGTGGGTTTTTGTAGTTGTTTTGTACAGTTTTCCTCAATATTTTATTTGGAATTTTGGCATTTTCCCAATTTCATTTATCAAAACCCATTAAAAAGTGTTAAAATCCTCTTTTAAGTAAAAAATAAAGTGGATCACATTGAAAATACTGTGTGTCAGGAATGTATGGTTATGGGTTTTTTCCCTTGTAAATCTAAACTGAGGAATTTGAAAATTAGTGGTGCAGGAAAAACATGAGTTTTCCTTTTGAATCCCCCATAACAAGTATCAATCTTAATGATAACAGTCTAAAGTACAGACATAAAGTGTTGATGTATCCAACAAGTGGAAAGCCAATGGTATTCCCCAGTGCTAAGCACCTCTCAGGATTTGTCAAATTGTTTAGGGAGGAGGGAACAAAACATGGTTGGGCTTAAACTGGAGTCAAAATATTTAGGACCATTTCTAAGGGATCGTTAGAGCAGTTTGACACCTCAGCGTTCTCTGGGGGATTCATTCTACACAGGGCCCAGAACTGACAATATATGAACCCTTGTGAATCTTCCCAACACCGTTGAAAATCTCCCTCCCCATCATCACCTTTCTCTTTTCCCCATTTCCACTCAGCAGGAAGCATAGATATAAAAAGTTGAAGGTAGGGTTCTGCAGTCAAGCGGTGGGGGAAGAGGGTGACATCCATAGAATCATAGAATCATAGAATATAAGGGTTGGAAGGACCCCAGAAGGTCATCTAGTCCAACCTCCTGCTCAAAGCAGGACCAATTCCCAGTTAAATCATCCCAGCCAGGGCTTTGTCAAGCCTGACCTTAAAAACCTCTAAGGAAGGAGACACACAGGGCGGTGAGGAGTTGCAAGAGACCTGACTCTTTAGTCTCCCAGTCATTGCCCTCTATTTCAGTTCACTCTCTGGGGAGGGTGCTAGTCTCCTCACCTACCACTTTCTCCGCAGACACAGAACAGGGATCCGAGATGTTTCCGAGATGTTTCCCTGCCCAGAGGGGTCACAAGGAGTGGTCACATCAGCTTGTCTGGACAACTCACTCCCCTTCTTTCCTTGTTATTTCCATGCCATACACACAGAGAAGTTATATAGAATAAAAATACTCTTTCTGGAAAGTTGCAACATTACACCTCTTCATTTCTTAGAATTCAGAACGATAACACACACAACCCCCAAAACGTAATGAGAGAGAGAGAGTGAGAGAGAGCGAGAGAGAGAGAGCAGGCTTCTTCCTAAACCAGAGAGGCACAATTAATCACATCCTGTTCTAGGCTGTCTGGCTGCTGAATGACTCTGGTGAGCCTAGAGGGCATGCTTCCCTGCAAAGTCCCTTTGGCTGCAACCGGACCAGGACAAAACCTTGAGTTTTTGTTTCAAGTTTTAGTTTACAATTTTAATGCAGTTTTCAGTACACCACACTTTCCCCACAGGGGCAGATGCTCCATTGGGTCCCCTTCAGCTGCTGACTGGAAACCACACATCTGCCCTTAATTGGCACTGGCTGCCACACGGTGACCACACCTGGCTTTGGGAGAGGCTGCAGGATGTGGGTGTCAGAGGTAGGGATGGGCAAGATTGTTCTAGATAAAATAAAATTCAGTCCCTGCACAAAAAATAACAAACACGTCCTCCTCTTGCCCTTCCACTGCCTACAAACTTCACCTTAGCTACTTTTCACAGCCAACTGGAAAATGGAGCAAAACTTTGCTGAAGTTTGAAGAAGATTCACTTTCTCAGTGGTGCCCATGCACCCTGCACCTAAATCTCCATCCCTCAGGAAGATTAATATTCTCCTTATGCCTCATCAAATAACAAACATCCTCTCCTGTAGACCCCTCACAGTGGAACCTACCTCTGAATAGCTCCACCCTTTCCCTTTGCTGGTCCTCTGTTCCAGAGGAGAAACCCATCCATCTCTGACCTCTTCCCCTCAGCATCTTGTGGAGATGTCCCATCACCCTATTAACTTTCCAGAGAGTGGTCGGTGGCCCACTCCTCCTCTCCTATCCCCCCTCACAGATAGAAGCTACCAATATCTTCTGAGGAAGAAATGCCCTCCCTCATCCTTTTGTAGCAGGAGATGTTTCAGAGTAACAGCCGTGTTAGTCTGTATTCGCAAAAAGAAAAGGAGTACTTGTGGCACCTTAGAGACTAACCAATTTATTTGAGCATGAGCTTTTGTGAGCTACAGCTCACTTCATCGGATGCATGCCGTGGAAACTGCAGCAGACTTTATTTATACACAGAGAATATGAAAAAATACCTCCTCCCACCCCACTGTCCTGCTGGTAATAGCTTATCTAAAGTGATCATCGGGGGGCATTTCCAGCACAAATCCAGGTTTTCTCACCCTCCACCCCCCCACACAAATTCACTCTCCTGCTGGTGATAGCCCATCCAAAGTGACAACTCTTTACACAATGTGCATGATAATAAAGTTGGGCCATTTCCTGCACAAATCCAGGTTCTCTCACCCCCACACCCCCCTCCCAAAAACCACACACACAAACTCACTATCCTGCTGGTAATAGCTCATCCAAAGTGACCATTCTCCCTACAATGTGCATAATTAAGGTGGGCCATTTCCAGCACAAATCTAGGTTTTCTCACATATAACACACACAAACTCACTCTCCTGCTGGTAATAGCTCATCCAAACTGACCACTCTCCAAGTTTAAATCCAAGTTAAACCAGAACATCTGGGGGGGAGGGTAGGAAAAAACAAGAGGAAATAGGCTACCTTGCATAATGACTTAGCCACTCCCAGTCTCTATTTAAGCCTAAATTAATAGTATCCAATTTGCAAATGAATTCCAATTCAGCAGTTTCTCGCTGGAGTCTGGATTTGAAGTTTTTTTGTTTTAAGATAGCAACCTTCATGTCTGTCATTGCGTGACCAGAGAGATTGAAGTGTTCTCCGACTGGTTTATGAATGTTATAATTCTTGACATCTGATTTGTGTCCATTTATTCTTTTACGTAGAGACTGTCCAGTTTGACCAATGTACATGGCAGAGGGCCTCTTCAATCTCTCTGGTCACGCAATCACAGACATGAAGGTCGCTATCTTAAACAAAAAAACTTCAAATCCAGACTCCAGCGAGAAACTGCTGAATTGGAATTCATTTGCAAATTGGATACTATTAATTTAGGCTTAAATAGAGACTGGGAGTGGCTAAGTCATTATGCAAGGTAGCCTATTTCCTCTTGTTTTTTCCTACCCCCCCCCCCCAGATGTTCTGGTTTAACTTGGATTTAAACTTGGAGAGTGGTCAGTTTGGATGAGCTATTACCAGCAGGAGAGTGAGTTTGTGTGTGTGGTTTTTGGGAGGGGGGTGAGGGGGTGAGAGAACCTGGATTTGTGCAGGAAATGGCCCAACTTTATTATCATGCGCATTGTGTAAAGAGTTGTCACTTTGGATGGGCTATCACCAGCAGGAGAGTGAATTTGTGTGGGGGGGTGGAGGGTGAGAAAACCTGGATTTGTGCTGGAAATGGCCCACCTGATGATCACTTTAGATAAGCTATTACCAGCAGGACAGTGGGGTGGGAGGAGGTATTTTTTCATATTCTCTGTGTATAAATAAAGTCTGCTGCAGTTTCCACGGCATGCATCCGATGAAGTGAGCTGTAGCTCACGAAAGCTCATGCTCAAATAAATTGGTTAGTCTAGCAGGAGATGGTAATTCTTCGTGCACCAGGTTAGACATGTCCTAATACTCAAATGCACTGTGATATTTAACCCAGGTTACTTCAAACTAAGCACAAAGAAGGAAATAGCATTGGGTCCATGCTCTTTTTGGCCTCTTTATAAAGTGTTAAGTATCTAAAGGGTTTATGTTTTGGGTTTTGTTGGTTTTTTTTGCCCTCTACTTGTTATTTAGCTTAGAAATATTTTTTTTTTTTTAAATCAAGTCTAGTCTTCTATTGCTGGAGATATCTTTGGAGTCCTCAGGGAAATATCTGTGAGGTTCATTAACCCTGAGCTGAAGTGGTGGAGTTCTTGAATCTTTTTTTAAAAAGTTTTTTTTCTAAATGCTTAAAAAACATTTGAATGAAACACTTGTTAATTATAAAAAAAAACAATCAACAAAGAGTTTTAAACTCTTCCTTAGTCGATGTCATGTCTAGACCTTACCGGTTCTCTCTCTCTCTCTCTCTCTCTCTCTTCTTCCTGTCTGCCCCCACCGCAGTTGTCTGTATCAATCTGGTCCCATTGTATGAGAATGTCTGTTTACTGAAGATCTCAGAATGTATAAGAGCCCACTGGCCCATATTACTGCACCAGGCAGCGTCACTGCAGGCATATGCAATACTAAGCTGTGGCACGGAGAAAATGAACACCAGCACCCACTCTGCTTGGGAGAGCCTGGGATTTGGTAGGATTGCTTCCACAGCACCAACAACAGCAGCAGGAAATGCACGGGGCACAATGACTAGATATGGAGGCAGATTCTGCCAACATCCTTCACAGGGAGTAAAAAGAACAGGAGGACTCGTGGCACCTTAGAGACTAACAAATTTATTTGAGCATAAGCTTTTGTGAGCTACAGCTCACTTCAAGGAGTAGTTCTTGCTCTGTGAACTGTGACATTGAAACCAATGGAAAAGGAGGACTTGTGGCACCTTAGAGACT